GGCGACGAAGGCGAGCCGGTCGGTGAAGACGTAGGCGCCGAACAACGGCGGCATAATAGGCCAGCCGTGCAGGCGAGGACACCAGTCGGCGGCGACGAAGGCGAGCCGGTCGGTGAAGACGTAGGCGCCCAACAACGGCGGCATAATAGGCCAGCCGTGCAGGCGAGGACACCAGTCGGCGGCGACGAAGGCGAGCCGGTCGGTGAAGACGTAGGCGCCCAACAACGGCGGCATAATAGGCCAGCCGTGCAGGCGAGGACACCAGTCGGCGGCGACGAAGGCGAGCCGGTCGGTGAAGACGTATGCGCCCAACAGCGGCGGCATAATAGGCCAGCCGTGCAGGCGAGGACACCAGTCGGCGGCGACGAAGGCGAGCCGGTCGGTGAAGACGTAGGCGCCGAACAACGGCGGCATAATAGGCCAGCCGTGCAGGCGAGGACACCAGTCGGCGGCGACGAAGGCGAGCCGGTCGGTGAAGACGTAGGCGCCCAACAACGGCGGCATAATAGGCCAGCCGTGCAGGCGAGGACACCAGTCGGCGGCGACGAAGGCGAGCCGGTCGGTGAAGACGTAGGCGCCCAACAACGGCGGCATAATAGGCCAGCCGTGCAGGCGTGGACACCAGTCGGCGGCGACGAAGGCGAGCCGGTCGGTGAAGACGTAGGCGCCCAACAGCGGCGGCATAATAGGCCAGCCGTGCAGGCGAGGACACCAGTCGGCGGCGACGAAGGCAAGCCGGTCGGTGAAGACGTAGGCGCCCAACAACGGCGGCATAATAGGCCAGCCGTGCAGGCGGAAACACCAGTCGGCGGCGGCCGAGGCGAGCCGGTGGTGATGTTCTGACTGATCCATTCCTGGAGCGTAAGAGATAAGCTTAAAGCCATGAATCCCTTTTATGCATATCTGGATCTGGATCCTGCAGAACAAACATATAGGATGAGTAGTATCTGATATAAATATAATACTCGAGAAAAAATCAAGTATTTTAAAATATTTATAAATATGTATTTCTCCTCTTGTCAATTTTGATTACCCCGAGCAGATGATTCATTACGTTTAAACGCTCTGTCCGACTAGTCATAGCCCCCAAGCATCGGGAGTCGGCCTAGGCACTTCCCAGACATGCATATGAGTGACATGAGTTCGCCATTAATAGAACAAAGTTTCACGAATTAGAATTTACTACTCGGGTACTTTTGCAATTATTAAGAGCAGAAAATAAATTATCTTATCTCTATGCTTTTGATTTATTCCGAATAATACTTAGCACCTTGCGTTACTCGGTCCATCCAACGAGCCCCCGGGTGCTAGGAATCGGCCCAAAGGCAACCATCCATTGGCAAACCAAACGAAAAGCATAGGAAGATAGAACTCCATAACTCGATAGGTACTTTTGTACTCAGATTATGTCGCAAGCAATCAAGAAAAATATTATAAAAAATATGATATAACATCTGTAGCCCCCGACTCACTACTCAATGGAAGACCAATTGGTGTAGTGAGGCAGAGGAAAAGGAAAAATATCATATAAAGAATAAAATAAATGATGACTTAGCTTTGTAATATTCCCCTTGGTGATGGCAGAAGTGGCCAATGTGGGAACAAAGTCGTCCATCAATAACAATGAAGACACCAGTCGGCGGCGACGAAGGCGGTCGACGGTGAAAGCGAAGACGCCCAACAGCGGCGGCATAATAGGCCAGCCGTGTAGGCGGAGGCACCAGTCGGCGGCGACGGAGGCAGGCCGGCGGTGAAGATGACGATGCCCATCAACGGTGGTGTGACCAACCGACCGTATAGGCGGGGACACCAGTCGGCGGCGACGGAGGCAGGCCGGTGGTGAAGTCGTAGACGCCCAACAGCGGCGGCATAATAGGCCAGCCGTGTAGGCGGAGGCATGGACGCCCATGAACGGTGGTGTGACCAACCAACCGTATAGGCGAGGACACCAGTCGGCGGCGACGAAGGCGGGCCGGCGGTGAAGTCGTAGACGCCTAACAGCAGCGGCATAATAGGCTAGCCGTGTAGGCGGAGGCACCAATCGGCGGCGACGAAGGCAAGCCGGCGGTGAAGTCGTAGACGCCCAACAGCGGCGGCATAATAGGCCAGCCGTGTAGGCGGAGGCACCAATCGGCGGCGACGGAGGCAGGCCGGCGGTGAAGTCGTAGACGCCCAACAACGGTGGTGTGACCAACCAACCATATAGGCGAAGACACCAGTCGGCGGCGACAGAGGCAGGCCGGCGGTGAAGTCGTAGACGCCCAACGGCGGCGGCATAATAGGCCAGCCGTGTAGGCGGAGGCACCAATCGGCGGCGACGGAGGCAGGCCGGCGGTGAAGTCGTAGACGCCCAACAACGGTGGTGTGACCAACCAACCACAAAGGATTTAGACAGGTTCAGGCCCTCTCAATGAGAGGTAATACCCTACTCCTGTTTGGGGATTTGAATCCGCCGGGTGTGTATTGATCTGACGATCAGGTTGTCTCATACCCCCTAGAGGGCCTCCTGCCCACCTTATATAGGGTGGGGGGCAGGATTACAAGATAGAAACCTTAACCAATACGGTATCGGTTTCCTAAATCAGGACTTTAGGCCGTTCCGTAATATACAAGGAAACGTAACACCCAAGTCATGATCTGTTACATATTACATAGATATAAGTTATCCCCTATAACTAGTCGGATAACCATGCCGTGTGGGTATGGGGTACCCATAATCTCCACAAGATTCAAGCAGCTATTAAGGGAGGAAAGATCAAATTCTATGACTGTATAAATCTGGGAGAGCGGCCGATGGAGGGAAGAATCGGAGTTCTCAATTAAATTCACCCAGGATCATCAATAAATATCAAAGGAGGCACGACAAGCAGCAGGAGAAATATTATGAGGAAGATGATGGTGGTTTTGACCCACATTGGGATTGTGAGTTCTTCAGGTTTTGCTGGAACGAAGGGATGAGGCTGCCATCGATTGAAGATTGCCCTGGATGCAGTGACAATGCAGGGAGTTCAAGCCGATCTTATAACAGAGGTAATCGGCTGAGTCAGAGGAGACTGTCTGTTCACCAGAGGTTGGGCCCGATTAATTAGGATCGTCATCAGGATGAGGACGAAGGCAGGAAAATACAATGGTGTCCTTCTGGTATTTTCACTAAGAATCAGAAGAGGAGGGTCCATAGGATGAGGAACAGGGAATGCTTTCAAGAGGTACAACAAGAGATCAACCATCGGATGAAAAAGACCAAGCAAGAGTAGCGTGTTAAGAGTAAGGTCGCAACAGCCGATGAAGTTGAAGCCGACAAGGTGAAGAGGTTAGCTAAAGGAAAGAGTGTTGCATCTACATCGGTAAATATGGTGTTTTTGTTGACTGCAGAATATGAAGCCAAGCAAGCCGATGTTGCTGACGTAGAAGAAGCCTCTGCTAGATTGATTTTGTCACCAGAGCAAGCGATCTTTGAGAAGCCAGAGGGGACAGAAAATCGACATCTCAAACCATTGTACGTTAATGGATTTGTCATTAGGAAGCCGATGTCCAAGATGATGGTCGATGGTGGGGTTGCTGTAAATTTGATGCCATATGCTAAATTCAGGAAGCTGGGTAGAAATGCAGATGATCTCATCAAGACAAACATGGTTCTCAAAGATTTTGGTGGCAATCCTTCGGAGACCAAGGGAGTTTTAAATGTCGAGTTGACAGTCGATAGCAAAACTGTTCCTACAACGTCTTTTTTGTCATCGATGGGAAGGGTTGCTATAGCCTGTTGCTTGGAAGGGATTGGATTCATACAAATTGTTGTATTCCTTCAACCATGCACCAGTGCTTGATTCAATGCAAGGTGACAAGATTGAGATCGTGCCAGCCGACATGTCAGTTAATGTTGCTAGTGCTGATTTAGCTCTTTGGGAGTGAATGGGATTAATTGCTTATCTGGAAAAGTTTGGGAAGGAGATTATCTAAAAGTGTCCGATTGTGATATATACAGCCAATTGAAGATGGAGACCCCAAATTATTACTTTGAGGGCGTCGTGGAGGGTTCAAATTTCTACACCAAGGACACGGAGGATGATCTCAATGGCAAGTTAGGACAGGGTTTCATGTCGGCCGACGATCTGGAAGAAGTTGATATAGGTCTAGGAGATAGGCCAAGGCCAACATTCATCAGTAAGTATTTATCGGCAGAATTCAGAACCAGGTTGATAGAACTTCTAAAACAGTATAGAGTTTGCTTTGTTTGGGAATATTATGAGATGCCGAGACTCAGCCGATCGATTGTTGAACATCGGCTTCCTATTAAACCAGGGTACAAACCGTACTAGCAACCTCCGAGGAGATGTAAAGCCGATATGTATGATGCTATCAAGGCTGAGAATACTCATTTATATGATGCTGGTTTTATCAGGCCATGCCGATATGCTAAGTGGGTTTCCAACATAGTCCCGGTCATCAAGAAGAACGCCAAGCTTTTGGTGTGTATTGATTTTCGGAATTTAAACAAGGCTACCCCTAAGGATGAATACCCAATACCGATTGCTGATCAATTGGTTGTTGCTACTTCAGGACATAAGATTATAAGCTTCATGGATGGTAATGTAGCTTCACAAGACTGCTTTCAGGTGTCACGCCCTGAAGTTCCCCTTTCCAGCTTTAAAATTTGTAAAATAAATCGTCCGAAGAAATTGTTCTTTTTAACCTAGAGCTAATTCCTCAAATTAATAAATGCAAATAATAATCGGAATCGGCATGTGGAATTTTTCTTGGATTCTACATGTCAAAATATGCTAACAAAATTTTTAGTAGAATTTTCAGAGCCTTAGAGATAATTTTAACCAATTAAAATAAGCACAGTGCAATATTAAATCCCTGGGAAAATCCATTTTCCCTTTTCTCTTTTCTTTTTCCTCCTTTTTTCCTTTTCTTGGGCCGTCGGCCCATTCCTTCCCGCGCCGGCCCGCTTCTCCTCCCTCCCCAAAGTCCTCCCTCCCTCCCTCTCTTCTTCGGGCGCCAACAGGTGGGGCCCACCAGTCGGTCGTCTTCCTCCTCTAGCCATTGGGGCCGGAGCTCCAACCGCCCCAGCGCCGCCGCCTTCTCCGCTCCATGTCGGGCCTCCACTCCGCGCCCGCACCTCGCACCCACGTCGCCGCCCTCTCCCCCGCCTCTCCCGCTCTCGCGCGCGCGCTCGCAAGGGGCAGATTCAATTTTAAATCCCCCCTCCCTCTCTCTCTCCACCTCCCACGCCGCCGGCAAAATAGGGAGCACCCCGGCGCACGTTCGCCACTCCCAAGCCTCAATAAAGCTCCCCCGCACTCCCCTCCACCTTTTTCCTCTTTCCGCCGCTCGTTCCCGTGCCCTCTATTGTTCTCACGCCGCTACACCCACCGCCGCCGCCTTTTCCACTCCTCCGGCTGCCGCTCGCCGCCGCTAGCGCCGCCGCCGAGCCGCACCGTCGTCATCTTCGGGTTCGCACGGCCGAGGGCTACCTCGTCCACCCCTCCTCCATCGAATTCCGCCATCGAAGGCCATCGTTCGTCGTGTGCCGGTGAGCCCTTCCATAGCCGTCGTCGTCGGCCATGGCTCTCGCTCGCCGTGGACACCCTCTCTTCCTCTAATCTCTCTCATTTCCACTCTTAGGGTGTCCTGGAGCTCAGCCGCCGTTCGACGTCGCCCTCCGGTCACTCACCGTCGCCGTTCGTCGTCGTCTCCTCCCGCGTCGCCGGCCGAACACCGGTGAGAACTCCCTCCCCTTCTCTTCCTCTCGTGCGCGCCGCCGCTCCCCGCATGAGCGTCGCCGCGATGCGCCATCGCCCGCGTCGCCAGCCGCCGCCGTCTTCTCGCCGGTCGCCGCCGTCGATGGCCGCTTGCCGCCGCCGCTCGCCTAACCGGCCGGCCGGCTTGGAGCTGAGCCGAGCCCGGCAGACGCCGCCCCCTCCCTTTTGGAGCCGCGGCCGGTGCGGCCCGCCTGCCAGCCGCACCCCCTCCCGCCTTGTGCCACTGCCAGTGGGGCCCACGTGCCAGCGCCCCTCCCTCTCTCTCTCGAGCCGCAGACCCGTGGGGCCCACATGTCGGCGCCGCCCGCCCCCCCTTGCTGACGTCAGCCCTGGGATGCTTTATTGCGCAATAATTCATTAAGGACTTTTCTTTAATAGTAAAAACACAGTTAATCTTCTATAATTCATAACTAATTCATCCGAGCTCCGATTAAGTCCATTCAAGTCTCAGTAAATTCATAAAAATGTATAGAATCCATTAAAAATAGTTTTTTTTCCTGTTTCAGTAGTCTTATAGCATGTTTTGCTTGTGTGCTTTGTTTGTCGTGTAGATTTCGCCCGTTTCGTCGATTCGCGGTTTCTCGAAGACGTTGCTGTGGTTCCATCAGTGCGAGAGCAAGGCAAGTCATGCTTTACATTTGATCATATTGTACCCAATTTACAAACACCCTGCATTTCTATCAAATGTTGCACTCTTTTACAATGTCATGTGGGATGGGTCCTATTACTCAGCCATACATTGTTTACCTTATGCCATTGATAACTTGGGTATTAAAATGACTAGATATTAGTTTAGGAGATGCTTAGCCATGCTTAGTTCAACTAGTGCACAAAAGGGGATCTCATTAAAGCATAGACTTTGATTATTGGCAATAGCTTTGGATTAGTGGCACCGTAATGGTGTTGGCTTATTAAAATTCACTACATGGTGGGCTGTGGGTGCATGGTTTTATTGGTCGCACCCATGGCAGTTAAGGACCGGTTCGCGGGATGCCCTGGAAGAACTTATCGTACTTACGACAAGCTAGCGTGGGCAACGACTGGGCTTGTAGTGTAGCTTTTCTCTAGCCGACGTACCCAGGCGAGGGTGGGCGTGATGGAGTTGGGTCGGCCGGGGTGTCCGGTTGATCGGCTTCCGGATTCACTGCGGCATGAAAGGGGGGCCGCCCGTTGCCTGCTGGGGGCGGGGGCGAACCCTAAGGTGTGGTGCGATCGGTTATAGGGGGTTATGCGAAGGGTCCTGTCACGGCCTCTTTCCGGTATGTCGTGGTGGCATGTCGGCGCACGGGAACGTGTCGTGGGGCTGTGTCTTGTGGGTACAGTTGTACACCTCTGATCAGAGTAAAACTATTCGAATAGCCGTGCCCACGGTTATGGGCGGTCGACCAGATTCACCGTGATTAGTCTCACCCCTAGTTTAGCTTAATGAGCTGGTGTAGTTCAGGTGGTTGGTTGGGCCTGTTGCTACGTGGTGTTGCGTTGGACAGTGACTGGTTAATATTGCTTAATTACTACAACTGTTTTTACTGTTTTCAACTACTGGTTTTAAATGCCTGCTTTATGCAAATGAACCCCGTAGCCTCCTTTGGTTATATCTTGCATCATACCTCCTCTTCCGGTATGACTTGCTGAGTACAGTGGGTAGTACTCAGTCTTGCTCTCTTTTCCCCCACACCAGAGCTGAAGATCTTTCTAGTTGGAGCTGTCTTGTTGAAGTTGGTTTTGTCGCTGCCGTCAAGGATTGCCTGTGGAGTGGAGTCGCCCCGCTGCAGAAGTCAAGTTTCCAAGTCTAGCTCGCTTTTACCTTTTCCGCTGCATTTGTAATCTTTTATATTTTCGTAAGACGTGGATCTGTATGTCAACAATTGTCATTTGTGTACCCTGGCTGGTCCTGGACAGAGGTTTAATACACATTCAGCTTAGAAATTCTGGTTCGTGAATTTCTGGGCGTGACAAGTTGGTATCAGAGCCAGGTTGACCGTAGGACAAACCAACTGGAAACCCTAAGAGCCCTCTGAAACTTTTTCATCTGCATATGCTGTTTGCACTTGGATTTGTTTCAGGAAAATTTTGGGGTTTGTTCTTTTGATTTGTGGGAAAAATCTTGATCGCTATTTCAATTGGATTTATCAACTAGGAATAGTATGGTGTTTTAGAAAAATCTTATTTGGAATTTAATCGACAGTCGGTCGGGAATTTGCTGGGTGATATGCATTAAGTTGTGTCTAGGTTCGTTAGGATGCAATCTTTATGCGCATCATTCCTATCATGCATCTATTTGATGCATTAAGTTATTGTTTAGTCAGTTGCATTAGTGTCTTTTGTCTGGGTTCATAAAAATGTTCCATGCATAAAAATCATCATGCTTGGCTAGTTGTTTGAGTCATTTGTTGCTTTGTTTAAATTTGGATTTGAGCATGCATTGATTCCTATCCCTTGTCTACCTTAGAAGTCAGACCTGTTCTTCGATCGCAAGCGCTGCTCCGAGCTTTAGAGTCGCCACCCTTAGCTTTATCGTCTTCTTAGTCTGTTTGCTTGCTAGTTTTTGTATTTAGGTTTGTTGCTTGTGGGTTAGTCGGCGGTCGATTTCATGTGTGAGTGGTATGACAGCCTTAATTAGGAATTGCGTGCCTCTTTTTCAGTGTTTTAATCAAGATTAAGATAGTTGCACTTAAATTTATAAGAAAGATTAGTTTCCGAGCCATCTGTTTTCTTCCTTTCTCTTATTTCTACCTATGCTCGTCCAGATGGTGAAGACAAGGAATGATCCCCGTGACTCCAACGATGCCAGTGGCAGCGAAGAGCAGACAGATGGAGCTCATACCAGTGGTGCATCTGGCAGCAGATCATCTCCACCGCCCGAGAACCCAACGGTCGCTCAGATGATGACAATGATGATGCAACAGATGCAGCAACATTACCATCAGATGTTGCAGCAGGCGCAGCAGAACCAGCAGTCTGGTCCTCCACCAACATACCTGTCCCACTATTAGATTTTCTCCGTATCCAGCCACCCACTTTCTCAAGCACCACCAACCCAATGGAGGCCAACGACTGGCTTCGTGCGATTGAGAAAAAGCTGAACCTTCTGCAATGCAATGACCAAGAGAAGGTTGCTTTTGCTACACATCAGTTGCAAGGTCCCGCTTCTGCCTGGTGGGATAACTACGTGGTGACCCGTCCAGATGCAACGGAGGTTACTTGGGCAAAGTTTTGTCAAAGCTTCAGGAAGGCACAGATTCCTGAGGGGATTATGGCACAAAAGAAAAGAGAGTTCCGCGCACTACATCAAGGAACCAGGACAGTTACAGAGTACTTGCATGAGTTCAACCGCCCTGCGCGCTACGCTCCTGAGGATGTGCGCACCGATGCTGAGAAGCAAGAGAAGTTTTTGTTTGGTCCTGATGATGAATTGACCAACCAGCTAATCTCCGGAGTCTATGAGGACTTTGAGAAGCTTGTGGACAAGGCTATCCGTCAGGAAGAGCAACGCAACAAAATGGACCGAAAAAGAAAGGCAGCTCAGATCAACTTTCCTCAGGGGAACAATCAGAAGCCTCGCTTCATGACGGGACAGCTAGGTGGGCCTTCCACCCTGATCGTCTGTCAGCACCGTCCCTATCACCCGAGTAACTTCAACAACGACTACAACGGTGGCAGTCACAACAACAGTAAGCAGCACAACCACAACTCGACTCCACCCCCACTAATGGCACCAGCTCAGTCAGATCCGCCAGCTGGGTCAGCTCAGTCAGAACAGCCCAAAAAGGGGGCTGTAGGAAAGCCAGGACCCTGCTTCAACTGTGGCAAGCACGGCCACTTTGCTGGCAAGTGTCCGAAGCTGAATCGCGCTGGACCCAGGTTCATCCAGGCCCGCGCCAATCATGTGTCTGTAGAGGAAGCACAGGCAGCACCAGAGGTCGTGTTGGGCACGTTTCCAGTGAACTCATATCCAGCAACAGTTCTCTTTGATTCAGGTGCCTCGCATTCTTTCATTTCCGAAAGATTTGCTGGGACACATGGATTATCGGTAGTGGAACTTAAAATACCGATGCAAGTTCATACCCCTGGAAATGACATGAGGACAGCACACTACTGCCCCTCGGTGACTAGAGATCAAAAGATCACCGTTTCTATCCAACCTCATCCTTCTCGAATCTAAAGACCTAGATGTCATTCTCGGAATGGAATGGTTGACCAGACACAAGGGAGTGATTGACTGCGCAAGCCGCACCATCACCCTAACCAACGACAAAGGGGAGAAGATAACCTTCCGTTCCCCAGCGTCGCAGAAGTCCGTGGCTAGTCTGAATCAGGCTGCTATTGAGGGTCAGACAGAAACAGTGGAGAAAAGTCCCAGGAAGTTGGAGGATATTCCTATAGTACAAGAGTATCCTGAGGTATTTCCTGAAGACCTCACTACAATGCCACCGAATAGAGAAATCGAGTTCCGAATTGATTTGGCACCCGGAACTGCTCCTATCTACAAGAGGCCGTACAGAATGGCAGCTAATGAGCTAGCAGAGGTCAAGAAGCAAGTTGATGAACAGCTGCAGAAAGGGTACATCCGACCGAGTACTTCGCCTTGGGGTGCTCCGGTTATCTTTGTGGAGAAGAAAGACAAGACTAAGAGGATGAGCGTTGATTATTGCGCCCTTAATGAGGTCACAATCAAGAACAAATATCCGTTGCCTAGAATTGATGACCTGTTTGATCTGCTAAAAGGAGCTAAGGTGTTTTCCAAGATAGACCTGCGATCAGGCTATCACCAGCTGAGAATTCGGGAAGAGGATATTCCCAAGACAGCCTTCACTACTCGGTGTGGGTTGTTTGAGTGCACGGTTATGTCATTTGGACTCACCAATGCACCGGCTTTCTTCATGAACTTAATGAACAAAGTGTTTATGGAGTTTCTTGACAAGTTTGTCATGGTATTCATTGACGACATACTTATTTATTCAAAATCAGAAGAGGAACATGAGCAGCATCTCCGTCTTGTACTCGAGAAATTGAAGGAGCACCAGTTATATGCCAAGTTCAGTAAGTGCGACTTCTGGTTGTCGGAAGACAAGTTTCTTGGTCACGTCATTACTGCTCAAGGTGTGGCAGTGGATCCATCGAATGTGGAGTCAGTTACCAAGTGGACCCCACCTAAGACAGTTTCTCAGATCCGGAGTTTTCTTGGACTTGCGGGTTATTACCGTCGGTTCATCGAAAATTTCTCCAAGATTGCCAGGCCCATGACACAGTTGCTAAAGAAAGATGAAAAATTCAAGTAGTCAGCTGAGTGCAACCAAAGTTTTGAAGAACTCAAGAAGAGGTTAGTCTCTGCACCAGTTCTAATTCTGCCAAATCAGACAAAAGACTTCCAAGTCTACTGTGATGCATCTCGCCAAGGGTTGGGATGTGTGTTGATGCAAGAAGGCAGAGTGATCACATACGCTTCGCGACAGTTGCGTCCACACGAGACCAATTATCCTACTCATGACCTTGAGTTGGCAGCAGTGGTTCATGCTCTGAAAATCTAGCGGCACTATCTTATTGGCAACCGCTGTGAAGTATACACTGATCACAAGAGTCTGAAGTACATCTTCACTCAGCCTGACTTGAATCTCCGACAGCGAAGCTGGCTGGAGTTAATTAAAGATTATGACATGGGGATACATTATCATCCAGGCAAAGCAAATGTGGTAGCAGATGCTTTGAGCAGAAAAAGCTATTGCAATGCCTTATGCACTGAAGGCATGTGTGGCAAATTGCAGCAAGATCTTGAGCACCTAAATTTGGGCATCGTGCAACACGGGTACGTAGCTGCCCTAGAGGCACGGCCTACGCTCGTGGACCAAGTCAGAGCAGCTCAGGTAAATGATCCTGAAATAGCTGAGCTGAAAAAGAATATGAGGGTTGGAAAAGCTCGAGATTTCCATGAGGATGAGCATGGCACAATCTGGTTGGGAGAAAGATTGTGTGTGCCTGACGACAAAGAACTGAAGGATCTCATACTCACAGAAGCTCATCAAACTCAGTATTCAATTCATCCCGGCAGTACTAAAATGTACCAGGACCTCAAAGAGAAATTCTGGTGGGCCAGCATGAGAAGAGAGATAGCCGGTTTCGTCGCACTCTGCGATGTTTGTCAGCGAGTCAAAGCAGAACATCAGAGGCCCATAGGACTGCTACAACCCCTTCAGATCCCGGAATGGAAATGGGAAGAAATCGGAATGGATTTCATCACTGGTTTGCCCAGGACATTGTCAGGGCATGATTCAATTTGGGTAGTCGT